ACACTGTAGGTGATTTTAAAAGTGAGAGTATCGTTCTTAATACTAATAGTCCTAAAATAAGAATTGGCTTAAAACATCTATCTACCAATTTCTGAAAAGCAACTAAATTTTCATGTTTATATATAATCACTAATGCACCTCCTTCAGGATTATCCTTCTGCTTCATCCAAGAAACACTTTAACATCAAGGATAGTTACTACCACCAGGTAAAAGATGGTAATGATATTCCAAGCAAATGAACCCAATAAAAAAGCTGGTATAGCCATTTTAACATCTGACAAAATAGACTTCAAACAAAATCTAATCAGAAGAGATAGTGAAGGACAAAACATTCTCATCAAAGGAAAAATCCACCAAGATGACATTTCAATTTTTATCATCTATGCCACAAACACAAGGACAAGAAAGTTTGCAAAAGAATCACTGCCGAAGCTTAAATCACACAGAGATCCTCCCACAACAATCAGTACACACTCTCAACAGTAGACAGCTCATCTGGACAAAAGCTAAACAGACACATGATGGTGCTAACTGACATTATAAACCAAATGGAACTAACAGATATTTATAGAACACTTCACCCAACCACAAAAGAATATACCTTCTCTGCACCTCAGGGAACTTGACCAAAACTGACCACATACTCAGACATAAGCAAGCCTCAAAAATATAAGAAAACTGAAATACCATATTACATCCTATCTGACCACCACAGATTAAAGCTCGATACAAACAACAACAGAAACAACAGAAAGCATACAACTTCAAGGTAATAAACAATTCACTATTGAATGAAAAATGGCTCAGGACAGAAATTAAGGAAGAAATTAAGACTTCTAGAATTAAATGGAAGTGAACACAAAATACAGGCAAATTTATGGGACATAATGAAGGCAGTTTTAAGAGGTAAGTTCATAGCAACAAGTGCCTACATTTAAAAAATTGAGCACTTTCACACTAGTAACTTAGCAGCACACCTGAAAGTTCTATTAAAAAAAAGAATGAATCACACCCAAAAGATGAAATAATCTAACTCAGAACTGAAAGCAATAAAAAAAACACTACAAAGAATTAATGAAACAAAATGATGATTCTTTAAGAAATATCAACATATTGAAAAACAATTATCCAAATTAACTGAAAAGTGGACAGAAAATATTCTAATTAACAAAATTAGAAAAGGGGGACATATCAGCAGACACCAATTAATTCCAGAGAATCAAAAGACATAGTTTAAAAACCTGTACTGCATCAGATTGCAAAATGTAAAAGAAACAGATAATTTTCTTGATACAGACCACTTATCAAAGTTAAATCAATATCAGATAAGTAATTTAAACAGACCTATAATCCCTAGTGAAATGTAAACAGTAATTAAAAGTGTACCAGTCCAAAAATCCCAGTGCCAGAATGTTTTAGCTCAACATTCCTCCAGACTTTCAAAGAAGAGTGAATGCCAGTGCTCCTCAATTTATTCCACAAAATAGATACACAAGAAACATTGTATAATCATTTTATGAGACTATAGTTACCCTGATTCCCAAGCCCCACGAAGATACAACAAACGATGAGAATTACAGACCAATTACCCTATGAAAACAGATGCAAAATTTTTCAATAAAATACTTGCAAAACAGATACAAGAATGCACCAGGAAAATTACTCTATATGATCAAATAGGCTTCTTCTCAGAGATGTAGGGATGGTTCAACATACAGAAATCAATAAATGTAATCCATCATATAAACAAACTGAAAGAGAAACACCTACATGGTCATCTCAAAATCCAATACCCCTTCATGATAAAATTACTGGTGAGATTAGGATACAAGGGACATATATAAACATATTAAAGGCAGTTTACAGCAAGCCCACAGGTAACATCAACTTAAATGGAGAGAAACTCAAAGCAATTCCACTAAAATCAGGAACTATACAAGGCTGTCCACTCTTGGTATACCTATTCAATACAGTACTTGAAGTCTTACCTACAACAATAAGGCAACTGAAGGAGATCAAGGGGATATAAATTGGAAAGAGAGAACTCAAAGTGTCTTATCAACAGAAAATATGATAGTATATACAACCCAAAGTTTTCAGTGGGAAACTCCTACAGCTGATAAACACGTTCAGCAAAGTAGCTGGATACAAAATGAATTCACAAAAATCAGTAGCCCTCTTATGTAAAAATAACACTTGGGCTGAGAAAAAAATCAGGGAAACAATAACTTTCACAATAGCCTCAAACTATGTAAACTATTGTGTGTTAACTCTAATCAAGCAAGTGAAAGATTTGTATGATGAAAACTTTGAGACACTGAAGAAAGAAATTGAAGATGCTGCCAGAAGATGGCAAGATATTTCATGTTTATGGTCCTGTAGAATTAATATAATAAAAATGGCCATTCTACCAAAACAATATACAGATTCAATGGAATCCCTATCAAAATTCCAACACAATTTTTCACAGATCAAAAAAGGACAATTTACAGTGTGTTAAAATACAAAAGTACCAGGGTAGCTAAAACAGTCGTGGATGATAAAAAGAACTGCAGGAGGTATAACCATGCCTGACCTCAAATTGAACTGTAGAGCTAGAGTAATCAAAACAGAATTCTACTGGCACAAAAACTGACGTGGCGGTCAATGGATCAAACTGAAGACACACATGAATCCACATGCTTATGAACACCCAATTTTTTATAAGTAAGCCATAAATACACCCTGGAAAAGGATAAAAATTCAACCAAGGGTGCTGGTCAAACTGGATGGCTGCATGTAGAAAAATCCACATAGATCCATACTTATCACCCTGTGCAAATCTGAACTTCAAATGGATTAAATATCTCAAAATAAAAGCAGATACGCTGGATCTGATAGAACGGACTTTAGAAGAACAACTTCTATGGCTTTCTGCATAGAACCATTAGCACAGGCACTAAGATAAACAATTAACAAAATGGGACCTCATGAAACTGAGAAGCTTCTGCATGTCCAATAATCCCATCATTCAAAGCAGCAGCCTACATAACAGGAAAAGATGTTTAGTAACTAAAAGTCCAATAGAAGACTAATTTACAAATGAAATGCTAAATATCAAGAAAACAACCCAATTCATAATGGGGTACTGATCTAAAGTGAAAATCCTCAAAAGAGGTAAGTAAAATGGGCAAAACCTCATAAAGAAATGTACAATTTCCTTAGTCAGGGAAATGAAAATCGGAACTATTCTGAGATTTCACCGAACACCTGCCAGAATGTCTAATAATAACACAAGTGACAGCTCATGCTGGCAAGGATGTGTAGTAAGGGAAATACTCATCGATTGCTGGGGGGAGTGGACACTTATATAGGCATTATGCAAATGAGTGTGGCAGTTCCTCAGGAAGATGGGTATCTGTAAACCTCAGATCCAGCTTACCAATCTTGGAATACACCCTATGGATACTTCATCCTACCACAGAGATATATGCTCAAATATGTGCATTGCTGCTTTCTTCATAATAACCAGAAACCTGAAGCAAACTAGATGCCCCTGAATGGATGAATGGATTAAAAAAAAATGGGGTAACTTTACACAATGGAATATTATTCGGCTGTGAAAAAGAATGAATTTATGAAATTCACAGGCAGATGAATGAAACTAGGAAAAAAATCATCCTGCCTAAGTTAACCTAAAGCCAGAAAGATAAATATGACATGTATTCATTTTAAGTGGCTATTAGCTATTAAGCCAATGAAAACCAAGCTACAATCCAGGGAATCACAGAGGATAGGTATAGATAAAGAACTAGTGGCAACAGATAGATCTCTCCAGGAAAGTGCTAACCACATGCAAGTGAAAATTTGCATTTCTCTAAAGGGAATCTCACAGGGGAATCAAATTACTCGTAAGTGCAGGCTGCATTCCCAGCACTAACTAGATGGTCAACAGAAAATGAAATCAGTGACATCTTTGAAATTTCTTTGTCTCATAATAACATGTCAGGGTTTTTTAAAAATTATTTATTTATCAATTTTCTCTTATTTTCTCTTTAGCATGTATATATGCATGTATATTGTCCATGTGTGTGTTTCTCTCTTTTTACCATACAGGTCCTTCGTATATATATTAAGGCTTCTAGTTTAGTGTTGTATATGTGATTCCTGAGAGTGTGATCAAGTAGGTCTCTGAGTCATTATCTGTTTCATGTGCCTTTTCTTTGTCTATTTTCCTCCACTTTGTTTTGTCCTTTACTGATGCAACAGTTTTTGTTTCATCTTATTATATTTTGGTTCATTTAATATTATCCTTTAGAAGCCTATTTGTTTTCTGATGGGAGGATCCAGATGGTAGGTGAGATGGGGAAGAACTAGGAGGAGGTGAGAGAAGGGAAACTGTAATCAGGATATATTATATGAGGGGGGGGAAGCTATTTTCAGTAAAAGGAAAAGAAAATTTAAAAAAAATCCTAAAAGATACAAAATATTCTTTCCATTATATTTAGCTGACAAAATTGATACAAGTTCATAGTAAGCTAAGGATGCATGTCAGTCCCACAGTCTCAGTAGGGGAGATAAAGTAAAAGGTGGAATGTCAGTATTACCATGTGGTAGGTTTAAATAGACATATTACAATGGTCATATTCTCGGGTATGAAAAGGTACACCAAAGGTGGAAAAACAGAGTTTGCAGCAAAAAGACTATACTTGGCACTACTGCTAATATTAAATTAAATAATATCCTTTGCATCAAAACACTCTCAAGTTATTAATAGTTCTCCATCAGAAGGTGCAATGAGAACTAATCCATTTTGCATTGAACATTATTATTCTAAATTATCATCTTAGTCAGTTGAGTTAGTAAATATTAACATGAATCAGAATGCAATGACTACTAAACAAACAACTGCATATTTGTGGACACAGTACAAACAATATTGTCAACATATTATTTTCCACTAAAACCTGAATAGAAAACTGTCGTGACAGATGGAAAACACAGAGCATTTATCACTTACAAGTGGAGGGATGAACTTCAGCCCTCTCTCTGGATGTCACAGTCTTATTCTTTGTGCTTGCAATCCTCCTTTCTCCAGAATATTCTTCTATTTACAGAGTAGGTGGGGATCAAACTTCAACAGACGCCTCTTATTTGTCTGATCTAAGGAGAAAGTATACTTTCAGTCAATTGGGACAGAATGCATTAAACCATTTTTTCTTACTATTAGGGAGTAGGAAATTTAATCTATTTTCTGTTAGGGTTGAAGTAAACAGAAATGTAGCAACTGCTTTGTCGAACATCATAATCAATATAAAAAAACCTAGTATTTAAACACCACTAAGAGAAACCCACATCTATATACTTCTTCATTTTCATAGCCAGGCAGCAGAGCAAGAGAAAATTAATATTAAAAATCCAAATGACTAGAAAAGCCTCCTCAAATGTATTTTTAAAAGACTGACATAATTTTGCAAATCCATGACTCTGGATGGTCTGGCTGAGACAATTACGTTTTAAACATTTTTACTCATTCATTTTAACATCTCAAGGCTAAAGAATGACAGGATGATTAGAAAGGAGTAAAGGAAAATCCATTTTTAAAAACTTTAATGGAATAATAAAAAGAGATGATTTCAAAAGCCTAAGGTAGACCAGAAATATGTAGGACAGGTTCTATAAGTGAACAAGAAATCTATAGTAGGAGTTTTTTTTTGAACGGCACAAGCTTGGAAAACGGCTGCTCGTGCAAGTCATCCTGGGAAAATCGGAATACATTATGCAGATGCTCTCTAATTTTATCATAATTCCTTAATAAATCTATTAGCTGTTAGGAAATACAGTCATTCTTTTCATGAAGATAGATAGAGGAATATGCTATATGAATATCTGATCTTTGGTGTTACAAACATCCATGAACTTAAAAAAATACAACCTATTATACAAATTTTTACAAAATGTAAGTTGGTAGTGACTATTTTCTGCTTCGTTAAAATTACGTATTAAGATAAATGTCTTCAGTTTGTACTACATGCACTAGATGAGAGGTCACATCTGGTGACCTATCTTCAAATCATTCAGTGTCTTCTACTGAGTAATATTACAATATAGAGGGAGACCTTAAGGGCAAAATTGAAATAAAATACTAATGTTTTGGGGAAGGTGTGTGACAGTACTCTAAACTTTGTTTTTGCTCAGGAACTAAACACATCACACTGGTGATTCATGTTTTTCTTATATTTTGGGGAATTTTAAATAATGGGAATCAATATAAACAACAGACTAACTAAACACAAAAACTAAATTTTATGCAGGGGGAAAAGTACCTCTTAAAAACATTTGTCTAATCACAAATTGCTACTTTCCTTACCCCATTTATTTGGAGTAATTCAAGATTATTTGAAGATGAAACAGCAACACAAATTTTATTACCAAAGATTCAACAGTATTATGTGAGAAAACACTGTCAAGATTAGATTTTTTAGGGTGAGAGAAAAACCTGTTCTGCTTTGCTTTATGAAAATCCAGTTAATCTTGGTCTAATTTAAAAGTCTTATTACTAAGACTTATCAATATGCACTTTCTGTATCAACATATCCACATGGCTGTTCAAAACAGGTAGTTTCTACAGTTTTCAGAGTATGAAAATGGGTCTGTAGTGTTCTGAGTCACTACAGCTCAATGCACATTCCTTTAGAGCCTTTAAATGGCCAGAGAATGAATTCAGCAGATTTTTGTATACCTGGTCTATTATGTCCTTTACAGCAATACCTATGGTAGTATGTGCCATATGTGAGAGAAGAGTATGCCAAACCTAAATAGGACAAAGCCTAGGTATGGATAAATTTGCATTTAGATGTGGACATGTACAAAAACCAAACCACACACGCATATTCACCACATTCCTAACTTATAAACAACATATATAGGAATACACAGAGCACCCACACATACATATTCAACATAGACACCAAACCTATGCAGTACTTTGCACTTAACAATATACACACCAACCTGCACCAAACATATATGCACAAGCAAGTGCACTTTGTGTCTTAATAAAATTTGCTTAGAAATCAAACACGGTCAACAAGACAAACAGCAGCCTATAGAAGGGGAAAAGATCTTCACCAACCCCACATCTGACAGAGAGCTGATATCCAGAATATATACAGAACTCAAGAAACTAGACATCAAAATACCAAATAATCCAATTTAAAAAATAGGATACAGAGCTAAAGAGAAAATTCTCAACAGAAGAATCTCAAATATCTGAGACATTTAAGAATTTACTCAACAGTCTTAGCCATCAGGGAAATGCAAATCAAAACAACACTGAGATACCATCTTATACCTATCAGATGGCTAAGATAAAAAAAATGCTAACAACAAAATCTCCTTTAATAAAAGGAGTTTATTCAGGTTCACAGTTTCAGCCTACAGGTCATCATGTTGAAAAGTCCAGGAGTAGAAGCTTGCAGCTGTTGGTCACATTCTACCCACATTCTAGAAGCAGAGAGCAATGAATGTACACTTCTGCTCAATTCCTTTCCTCCACATAGGGTTCAGGATCCCAAAAAAAGGAATGATGCTACCCACAGTACTTGGGTCTTTCCATCTCAGTTAGTGAAGTCAGGTTAATCCCACCCAGGCATGTTCAAAAGCTCTCCTTCTTTTTCCTCTTAATTTTCTTTTTTGGTTCTTAATTTGTTATAAAGTTGATATATTCACACAAACCATCAGTCAGCAAAACTGTGTATTACATTTGACAGTGAATTCATTCTCTATAATGAAATTATAGTTCTTGTAACTAACCACAGTCATTAAATTAGATAAAAAGACAGACATTATTACGTGGCTGGTACACAGTGAGCCTGAGGATATGAGAACAATGGTTAGTTTGACCATTCTTGATTGCCTGGGATGGACGTGGCTCATGCACCGCTCAACTATGAGTAGCTATCCCTTTCACTCTGAAAACATCCCCAGTTTGAATATCTATTTATCCATGCCAAATATAACTAATTATTATTTATTCATCATTTGATTATTCATTGACAAAGTATTGCCCATTTGATTGTTGTTATATCCCGTAATAATTCACAACATAAATATTTGAGGAGAGTATAATACATAATTCCATTATGTCAACATGGATAAATTCAAATAGATGTTTGAGTCCTAAGCTTTGGTTTCCAGGCTATGGTAATATTTTAAGGTTGTAGAATCTATAAGAGGTAGAGCCTGACGGAAGGAAATTACATCATTGAAGGTGTGCTCAATAATGGAGACTTTGAGCATCTCACACTCTCATTGATTTTTAGCAACCATGAAATGTACAGACCTCCTTTCAAGCCTGATGTGACAATCCAAACTCAGAAAACATAAGCACTCCATATTGAAACCTCTGAAACTGTGATCCAAAATAGTCATTTCCACCTTCTAAGTTGTTTATCTCAAATACTTTCTTCCGTAATGAAAAACTATCTAAGGCAGTTTCCACAAATACAGATGAAGTTTGCCCCTCTGCACTTATCTGCTGACTTAAAGTGACTACTATGTACACACACTCCTAGGTAGTTCCTTTCTGAGAGTCTTAACTCATCTCAAGCCTACTCACAGCATTCAAAGGTTTATTTCTCTGAAAACTGAGTTGGATACTAGTTGTACCCAATAAGATAAGTAGTGAGTAAGTTCTACAGAAGATTCAAATGCCCCAGAAGATCAGGGGAAAATTCAAGAGTGGAGCAGTGGAGGCATCTGTTTCTGGTTTGCTCATTTGCAATCCCAGTTTGTTTCTTTTGCAACAGTGGTTGCAAGTGGTACTAGTTTTGGAGGCAAAGTGCACTCTAAACAATGGAGGAGGCATCTGAGGGTCATGCAGTAAGTATACAAAGACGAAAGTACAGGCCCGAGCAGGGGCAGCTTCCAAGGCCGTACCGTCCGTAAGGTCCCTGATTCTGCCATGTCTGTTTTGTAGGGAAACAGATTTAGTCTTGGGAAGCCAGAAGTTTTCAGGAGATGTAAATGCGATGTGTTTGTGTGTGTACAGGAAAGAAAAAGACAGTGATCCAGATTTTAAGATTCTACAACTAATTTAGTATTTAAAATATTACAAATTATAAGAAATAATTTTTTGTTCTACAAGGGGCCTGGGCCACACAATTTTGTCATCAGTGTTCAATGATATTGTCTATGACCCAGCAACCATGTTACATTATAGACATGATGTATGATGTAACATCTTTTTCTCATAAAATAAAAAGAGAAATCTGGTTTGAATTTTGATAAATTTTTTCAAATATCCACCCATATACATTTGAATAAGTATTTGATATTTACTTTTGTTATCTTCAAATGAAGTGTAAATGTGGTTTCCCAGTCCCTCTTTCTCAGCACATTATCTTCTGACTCTTTAGAATTTTCATGTAAATATTCTGCTAGTAACTCTTATGCAAATTAGTAATGTTTTATTTATCTCCAGAATTTAATCTTGATCCTTTTTACCCAAGAACACATATGTGTTCTTAAATATATACCAAAAAATACCAGATGTCTCCATAAGTAATATAAAAACAAGTAACATTCCTACCTCTGAAATTATAGCCTTGCCCCCACTTCTACAATAACAATTTCAGATTCATATCCCTCACACCCTAGAGTATCTTTAAACATCATCTCATTATTTTGCAGACTACCAGACCTAACAAGGTTTCCCAAGCATATGTTTTTATAGTCTGTTAAACTGGCAGAAGGAGAAGGGGGAAACACATTAACGTCTAAATTTGAATATATTCAACTGAAAATCATGCAAATATTTCCTCACTGTCTTTTATTGCATGGGCATCATTCAATGTTGTTTAAAATTGAAAACCTGCTCAATAAAAAATAAGGAAAAAAAAACCATTAGCCTAGAACCTAAAGGCTGTTCATTCTTGACATCAAACTTGTCTGTTTACTCTTGTGTTGGTTTGGTTGCTACTGCTGTGATAAAGCATTCTGACCAAAAGCAAATTCCTTGGGAAGGAGTTAACTTGGCTTATAGGATCTATCATAACCCATCATCATTGACATGGTAGGAAGTCAAGCAGGAACCTAGAGGCAAGAGCTGAAACAGAGACAATGGAAGGGTGCTACTTACTGGCTTGCTCTCCGTGGCTTGC